GCCCAGTGTTGCTTGTTCATGGCTAGAACAAGTGTTCCTATTGCGGCACGACACACCAGAAACAACCAGAAGTTCAGCCACGTACGAGGCAGACCAAGGAATTCCGCATGTGGCCCCTCGCTCGCTCGCTCCAACGTGAAGGCGGGAGCTGGTGTCAGTCGCGTCCCGTCACAGCAGCCTCAGCCGCTGTGGCGCAGCGGCCATGAGGCCTGCTTTGTGTCCATGCGTTTGGACGTGTGGGCGCCCTCAGCGTGAGCTCACCCCTCAGCTCGTGCCCCTTGCAGCGACTAGCTGAGGATTCAGCCGAGGTCTGGGGGCCTGACGGGAGGCAGGGGGCCTCCAGCCGGAGCGGCAGGGCTGCGTTGGCAGGGGAAGGAGCCTCTCCACAGCCCTGGTGTGACTGGTGTGAGCAAGAGCAGCCTTCTCGCACATCCTGTGTGCTCTCCGTTCAGCTTTGGTCTGGCTGCTTCCCCCCAAAGGACAGGGGAAGGAGCATGTGCTCACGCTGACTAATTTTTTCTCTAATAATAACTTTGTTATGATGTCTGCTGTCCAAAGCTGCCCTGAGAGAGCAATAGTAGCTGTGGATTGCTTGGAAGAAGAACAAATACTGCAATCAGGTTTGGGAAACCATGAATCAGCTGTTAAGGGCAGTGTTACCTCAGCATGAATACATGTGTCTTAGCTCAGGCTGTCAGGTGTAAATATAACTGTGTGGACAGTCAAGCAGTCTTGTGATACGCCTTCATGAGAGGCGTCTATTTTTACAGATACGATGATCCTTGCTCAGTATTTGGTCATAGAGTGAGGGCCCTGCTGTGTAAATCCAGGCTAAGCCTCAGCACAACAGCCTTTCTTTAAAGGCAATGCTGGAGAGGTAGCCTGCCCCTCAAGTGGCTCTAGCCTGGGAAAAGGGCTGCAGCATCCCCTTAAAAAGGGAGCCACATATACCTGCTCCCCCATCTCCCAGCCTTTCCAAAGGGCGAGTGGCAGCAGTTGCTCGACCTTTTTCCTACCCATTTTAGGAGGGCAAATGCTCTTGGCCAGATTTAGCCTTCTGCAGAGTAGCAGGGGAGCTGCAGGAGCTGTGGCCATGCCAGGGCCTCCAGGGTGGAGGCACTGTCATGCCCCCGGGCTGCCTCCTGGAGAGCTATGCAGGGGCCGAGCCCTTGTCCCTATGGCGAGAGAGGCACTTCTGAGGTCTCGAATCCGGTCAGGTCAGCGCGAGCGCTCGGTGACGGACAGCAAGGTGAGAAGGCTGCGTTAAACTGAAACTGGCTCTCCTGCTGGAGAATGGGCTCATCCCAACTAACTTTAGATTACAGTTTACACATTGTTGTGCCAAGGCCTGCATTGGACCAATTTATAGTGAGAAATGAGGTTGGCAAGATAACAGGGGCATCACAATTAGAGCTAATTAGCCCAGCAGGAAATCCATTTCCAGGCAGCTTTTGGCAAGAGGCAGGGTTGGCGGGGTAACAAGCAGAGAGTGTATTTTGATATAAGCACACTCCAGCTGCAAGGAAAACTAAAGCAACAGCTTGTCTCATCGCTGCGCAGAGGCCTCGTGTTTGAGTATAACTCTGGAGCATAACTCCGCTTCTGAGGCCTTGCAGCCTCTGTGCTTGGAAAACATGTTCCTGCAGTTTCCTTGGCTTCCGGAGGGCCCGTCCTCACCCCACGCCGAGGGGGTCTGCAAGGTCTGTGCGGCCGCTCCGGCCCACAGCCAAACTAGCCCACAGCCAGCGCTGAATTCTGCCATCAGTCGGGGGCAAGAGGAGGGGATTTCAGCTCCCTCCGTGACCAGCTGAGCACAAAGTAGCTACGAGCCCTCAAATGCATCTGCCTTGGAGGGCAAGCTGAGAAAAGAGCAGCGTGGCCTACCTGAAACAGTTACTTGTACCATGACATGACTAGGGAGGAGATGCAGTCAAACTACTGGAATTATTTGTATTTGAGTGCTTTATTATATTGGAATTGCAGTGATATTATTAACATTTGTACAAATGCACAAAAATCCTGTCTCTTCTAGCTAGAAAGAGATGTAAAAATCTGACCTAGTTGAACAGTCTCAATGAACTCATTGTCCATTTGTAACAATAATGGGTTCACAATGCAACAAAAAGCTTAACATAAAATTAAACATATTAAATGCTGCAGCAAGTATTTACACTTATGTACCAAAAAAAAAAAAAGAAATAAAAAATTTATCTCCCTCCAGCAAGGAAGGTGGTTGCTTTACAGAATAAAACGAACAGACAAACACAAAACCTTTGCATACAATACAAACAACCTCAAGCCCAAAACTTACTGTGACAGCACCTTTTTTAATATAATATATATTTATATATGTATAAACTTCGATAGTTTAGGCTTACTCCAAGCAGTGCTAAAAGTTCCTTAAAACCAGGACAATGCCAATATTTTAAAGAAGCAACTTTGACTGATGATTGCAACCCAGTGTTTTGAGCCAAGCTGTTACAGAGAAAAGTACAGAGCTCACAAACATGGGCTTGGAAACACTCGGGTCCCGATTCTAAAGTCCTTGGCAAAACTCTCAGTGGCAATTCTTCTTCTCCTGAAGAGCAAATGAAACTTTTGTGCAAAATATTTTGTCTTTTGGAAAAATGGTAAAGGTTGTTTCTGACAGGGATCTCAGAGCTATCTCAGCTCCTGGGCAGTGGGGGGAAAAAAAGTCTCTGGAATTTCCTAGATTCCAGCAAGGAAAACAGTTCCCTCCAAATGCCCTATCAGGCCTCCCTCCCCCTTGTTTCCTGACATTTCTGCACTTTCAGTAAAGCCAGAATGAGATTTCAGCCTTCGTTCAGAAGCCTGTTTGAAAGATACTAGTTGAAAAGAGGTTTGGGGCTAACAGTCTTGCAACCCAAGATGGCATGTTGCTGCCATGGGGTTCGGAAACAGTTACACCAAAGGAATCCTAATATAAATAACGTTTAATTTGCATAAGTACAGAACTGGAGATCCTGAATACCAGGTATTACACATTGGTCTAAATATAGCGAGTTGTAATTATTGACTGCAGTCCAAGGAGAGCTTGGGAAAGGATCAGATTTCCACTTAGAGAATCAATCTTTTCTGTATGTGCATGGACACTGATATTTTTGGCCTCATATAGTTTTAACATTTGCTATAAAGTAGTTTTAAAAGCTGTGGAGAAACAATACAGGTAAGCAGTTGAGCTCTACATATAAAGCCACTGATAAAACTGAGATAACAGTAAGCTCTGAAAAAGACATAACAGATATAAATTGTCTCCTTTGTTTTTGCAAGAAGATGATTATTTCACAAAACGAAAAATTGAGCAGTTTTTTTGGTGTTCAGTTTATTGCTTTTGTTTGTCCTTAGCAGTTTTTAGTCTCTTTTCTTATAAAGGTGCTGTCCCTAGTCAAGTTATAAGGCAACATATTTTATTGATTCAGAAGTTTAATACATTGTATGGCCACTGTTACCACTGCAGCTTCGCATCTACTGCGGGTTGGACAAGTGTCAAAAGTGCATTATAATGCACAACAGAGCCAGCCGCCCGACCTACGATGCACAGGACACTTTGGTTCTCAGGATGAGATTACAAATGTAGCTTGACTGCTGCTTCACACACTTTGCATAATAAAACATTTATATGCTATCATGAAGAGGGTGCAAAGTCTAAGTCACACTGCAGACTGGCTGTTCTAAGCTTCTCCTTTTGGGCAGGTGTGAGAGACAAGTTGTGGAGATGCAATCAGTGAAAGCATATAAACCTATCTATCTGGTGCAAACGGTTTACAAGAGTATTATAAATGATTCAACAAGGGAGAGCAAGAAAGAGAGAGCTAAAGTGCAATTTTAAAATAATATAAATAATTGAAACGTAGAAATAAGATACTAATTAGTTGTAACTGGTTTTGTTTATAGGCACAGTTTATTTTCATGTCTACGGATCAATTTTTTTTTCCCTTCTTCCCCCTCCAGTAATTTTATCTGATGTATGATGGAGTTTCAATGGTCTACGTCTAAGTAACACTGCTTAGCAAAAGGACAGAAGAGGCAATGATAAGGCAATATAGTGCAACTCACTATGTGACATTAGAAAAGAAACAAGAATGGGGTTAGATCTTCCATGGTGATGTATATAATCAGTCTCAGAAAAAAAAAAAAAAAAAGAGAGAGAAAATAAAAGACAGACTTTCCAGTTATGTGTTGACCGTGCTTTCTAAAACGAGAGAGCACATTTTGCAATAGAAAGGAAACAGCTGAAGGTTCATAATTTGTTTTGTTGCTACCAAATAAAAAAACTAAAAAACTAAAAAAAAAAAAAAAAGCAGATGCTGCTTTAAGGAAAACATTTAATTCTAGGAATTTCTGTACAACTGACCTCAGCAAACTTTTCCATCTTAGATGGATGGCTTCTGCTCGAGACCCTGAAAGATTTAAGATGCACACACACCTAGAGTAGTTTATTGCAAAACTAATATTGTAACTTAGAAAACAAACAAACAGATTCTGTACAAGAATACTGTTCAAATGGAATGTGTTAAAATAACATTTATTAATAAATACTTTATAAAATTCTATGTGAATACTAAATTAATAGATTCCTGTTTTAAAATTGCTTTGGTCCTCATGAATTTTCATAAATTCACTCTATACGCTTTTTTTTAAAAAAAAGGTATTAGCTGCTAAAAAGCGCATTTTGCCTAAACTAAAAGGCTAGTTTTAACCACTAGATATTGTTGCTTAAAAAAATATGAATCCTCAAAAGTTGGGCATTTAACAACAGTTATAGCTGGCTTGTTAGACATCACAGAGTCGGTTAACGCACTAAATCCACACATACTGAGGCACTGAACCATTGACTTTCCACTATTCAGAACACAGGCAGCATATGTTTAGTTTTGTAGCAGGAATTAACCCAAAACAGCATGAAATTCTCCATAAATCACCATCGTGGTCCTTACAAGACACCCCGTGACAGCACACAGACCGCTTGTCTCCCACAGGCAGCGCTGGGAACATGGCTTGGCGAAGGAGGCTGGGGAGGAGAGGAGCGCATCACCGCGTAGGTTCTTTGCCATCCAAGTGTCGCAGTTATCCGTGGCGGAGACTTCCCGATGTGCGTTCGATGTCGCGCGGCGAGCGGCGCTGTGCACAGAAGCACCTGGGGCTCCTCCGTGGCGCTGCGGAAGGTGGAGCAGGGAAGCGCCCACAGAGTGCCCGCCGGCCTGGAGACGGGTGCAGCGCCACGACAGGCCCAGCTTGAAGGGCAGGAGGAGGGTGTATCAGTCTCCAGGAGCAGCTGTGGAAAAGCGGGACTTCTCCTGGAAGGCGAGGGCATGGCAAGTGCATCTCCCGCGACGTGCTCGCACGGGGGCCCTTCCAGCGATGCCGTGGCGGAGCGGCCCAGGCGCCGGGCTCTTCCCGTGGCCCTCACTCCGCTGCCCACCAGGGCACGCAAGCTCCGGCAACGTCAGCAAAGGCCGCAAGGCCAGTCCTCCAAAACCCGAGCGTACTTCAGCATGGAAGGGGATCTGATGGATAATATAAGGTGCCTGGTATGGTTGGTCCTTTTACCGATATGGCTAGTATAAATATGCTGCGTGTTGTCCTGGCCTGTGAACCTGCGACAGAGTTACAAGAAGCAAGAGCAAGTAGCTTTTCATCCTTTACTTATTTCCACATCACTAGCAATGATTATACCTAAAGGCCAATAGTACAGAGAGGAGACGTTTCCTTGTAATTACACATTTAGGCCAACATGTGTGGTTGGCTTGCCTAGTTAGCATTAAAAAAAGAAATAATTGAGCTATATATAATACACATCAGTCAAACTGTCAAGTTGCTGAATTTAACAAAACTTAGGCAAGGTTTTTGTATTTTTTTTCTTTTTTTTTTCTTTTTAATGTAGAGGCTTTCAGTTTAACAGCTAAATATTTTAATTGAGGAGACTGAATAAAAATGAAGCTAAACCTTAATTCTAGTGCAGTGTAGCTCAACTGGGTAATCTAACATTACCAACAACTTTTTTATTTTTAAATGCATTTAAGTGCTACCCATATAGAGGGAAAGTTTTTTAAATTAACCCTAAGATGGCATTTTACTTTTCATGATGAATGATGAAATTCAGACACATGGGAAATGCTTTTTTGTTTTTTCATAGTGGATACTTAGCCAGAACATTTTGCTCAACTGCATTTTTGAAAAAAGTTCCCTTGGGAACCATGATGAAGCAAAACCATTTAGCTATTACAACTGGAGGTTAAAAAAATTTATAGATTCAGTATTTAAAACATTTTAAAAGTATATGTTTGTCTAAAATATAATAGAAAATCCTTTACATTTGTATTTTTTCATAATTTTTTTTTTGGTTCTTAGACTATATAATCAAGTCAAGATTTACACTATACATTAAAAATCTTTCTTTAGAGTGTACTTGCATAAACGGAAAGACAACTGTTAAAAAATATGGATAAAAAGTTAGTTACCAAGATAAGAACTAATTCAGAGATGAATGATCCTCAGCATTTTGCCTTTCCTTCCAAAGGGGCCGCTCATTACAGCGCCTCACGCTGCCTTTGTTTAACTCTCCCTCCCTGGACTGAGAGGAGTCACCCTTTTAAAGCCACTGCTCCTCTCACACCAAAGAAACAGGCTTTGAGAACAAGAACTTCGCTTCAGAACAAAGTATGCTCAGGACCAGAGTATTTCCCAGGAATAACATTAATTAGCTTTTGTTATTAAAAATGCAGTTCAGAATGTTTGAGCGGTCAGCACCAGCTCAGAGCCTCATCCTGCTCCCATGGGAACCAGCGGGACGGGCCCAGAGCAAAATCAGGTCTCACTACACTGGAAGGTGACATAATTAACTGGCATCATCCTCATCTGATTTTCCCATCGCTCACTGGTGCTGCTCGGGGATGCGAATCCGTAGGGCTGAGGGACTGGCAAAGAGTCCACACAAAAACCTGAACTGCAGCGCCAGACCCTTTGAGAGACCCTCTTTGTAGGACTGAGTGTGGCTTGGAGCGCGCAGTGGAACCGGCCCTTCCCACAGCACCCGGAGCTGCTCCGTCCTTCCTCCTCGTGCAGTGCCACAGGGAGACAGCCCCCACCTGTGCCCTTGAGGCCAGGGAAGCTCCACTGGGGCCCACCAGCGACCGATCCAGGCGGTGTGTGTTTAAAGCAACACTTGCAAAGAACACGTCTGCCCCTGCTCATTAAAAACGGCATTCTCCCAACTGCTCAGAAGGGTGATGCTGATTTGCTTTTCATTTACAGCCCATGAAATCTGAGGTTGTTAGATGAGCATCTGATGATAAAACAAAATAACGAGGTTAAGGAACAGATTTTTTTTCTGAATTATTATATACTACATGGATTTTCTATGTCAATGACTGGCAGTGCAAAAAAAACTGGCTGCAATTCTCAGGTGTTATTTGCTATGCCTGTAGTGGGCCACAGACATTCACCTCACAAGCCTACATGGCTGCTAGCATCAACACAGCTGGCTCTCAATCGTGCTTCACCTGTGACTACACTGCTTTCGCCGTTCACTGTTTATTAAAAACACTAAATCAGAAGCATTTCTATTTTTTAAAACACAAATGCTTGAAAGTGAGGCCAGCTGTGGGTGAAGAGCTAGTGAAAGCTGCAGTCGTGCCAACAGTTTTTAGGTGGGCTTGAAGTCTTTGCTTCTTCATCACTATTCTTAGGAAGGCGGTAAAAAAGAGAAGTGGGAAAGTCTTGGAATAAAAAAAAAAGGCAGAAAGAAGCTTGGAGAAGAAAAGGGTAGAGGGTTTGGAAAGGGAAAAGGATCATGGAACAATGACTGAAGGATAAAAAGGACAGGGAGGACAGAGAGCCCAAGGAGGAAAGCTAGACAAAAGAGCACATTGTCTGGGGGTTTGTTCTGATCACCACATACTGTATGACCACTTGGCAAGAGGCTCTGAATACAAGATGGGGTTCTGGTGATAGCACAACGCTAACTCATTTTTTATTATGCTGTCCGCAGATGCCCTCTCTCTATATTTATAGCCTAATTAATCCTAGTTACCTACGTATGACTCTGTTTAATACTTTTCATGCCTCATGTCAGCAAACAGGCTGCAGTTTAACACAGCTCTGTATTTCTGAGGCTTCAGGCTAGACTGGTGAGAAGGAAACATGACTATGTACAGAAACAGTTAGGTTTATAAACAAGTAAATGGTACCAAAAAACTGGAGAAAGCACCAAAGCATTTCTCAAGCTGATAGCATATTAATTGCATAACTCCCTTTTATGTAACTAAGTATAAAAGACATTTTAATAACTATAAAAATGAAAGCCAGAGTCTTTCAAGGACTGAGGAATCTTCCAGGCTTGAGTTACTGTCGCAAACGTCCTTAGCACGGAGGACGTCTTGATACGCTACCACACTCCCACAGCAGTTTCTGATCAGTCAGTCTTAAAGGATTGGGTTGATGTCTGTTCTGTGGCTGGCGAGCTGGGTGAGAGTGGAGCTCCCCACGACGTCGCTGACGGAGGATGAAGTCGTAATGGTGTTGTGCTGGATGACCTGCTGCTGGGAGCAGGCTGGGACAGGGCTCGTAGGAGGGCTGCTCTCAGGACCTAGGAAGGCAGCAAGGGGAAAAGACAACACGCGTTAAATTACCCCTCAGTGGAAGGACATCTGAATTACTATGCTTGCAAAATCTAACCCCCAGCTGGGTGAGAGTACTGGTAGAGGGAGGTACCGCTAAGGCATGCTAACAATTTGAGGTACGAGGATGCCCTAGGATTTCAAAATGCAGAGTTATCAAATACTTTTTGTCTTCTGATTTGGGGATGGAGACCTTTCTTTTTCTTAAATCAGCTTCTCTGATATTAATCTGACCTCAGGAGCTGAGACCCTGAAAAGAGTCTAATATCTTAAAGTGTATGAAACCAATGTGGGGATGCTTTAATGCTTTATTTGCTCCAGCAGTAATCTAAATTGCAGTGCAGTATACTGCAGCACAGAAAATTTAATTCAAGCAACAGTTGATAGGCATGTAATGCAATTATATATTTTTCCTCTGAGTACTGTTAAAGAGCCAGATGCATAGTGATGCAGAGGAAGTAGAAATGGGCTCTTTTTTAAGAGAATGCCTCAATCTAGCAAAGATTAGCCCAGCCCTGAGGCTCTTCTGAGCTGTTCTAGAGCCAAGCAAAGGATCTGTCCCTAAATTACCATACTTGCAAAATGCATCAACTAGATAGAATCGATTCAATGTCTCCCTTAGATCTGATTTTTTTTAAATGAAAGATAAAAGAGTTAAAAAAGAACAAACCTTGAAAACCTGCGCCACGTCCGAGTCAGAGCACAGTACCATTTTCGTTGGAGGGAACTGTAATGCTTTCCTTTTTAACTTTCCTTTCGAGAGTTATTTTAATGTACTGGCAGCACTGTACCCGGGAACACTCTTGCAGGTTTGGAGTCTGAGTTCAACAGGTTCCTCCACATGGGAGCAAGCGTCCATCCACGTGCATCTCCTTGCAGAATGGAGGGGTGGGGAAGGCTAGCTGTATTTTGTCTGAGGCAAACCATGGCTTTTTTTTTGAGCGGGGCTGGTTAAATAAGGGCAGGAGAGTGGACGGCTCGGATGATGTTTGAGAAGGCAGGTTCAAGTGAAAATATGGACAACAAGGGGTTCTGGAGGGAAGAATTAGAAACTCTGTTGTTCTTGTGAATAGTGTGGAGGCAGTGCAAACATACCAGCTACTTACTTAGATATCCTTGTGATTCTTTCTGCATAGCTGTTATCGGACAGTCTTTATGTGTTAACAATAACTGTTTCAGCTGTGCTACCTCATTTTTCAGCATGGAAACCTCATTCTAGAAAAGAAATAGAGAGTTTAGTTTGCCACAAAACTGAAAACATTCAGTTCCACAAAGTTTCATCTAAGAACACAGGAACTACTCTACACAACTCTACTAAAACACAACTGTAAAAGGCACTGACCTACTCGGTGCTTTTGTGCTGGGTTTGTGTTGACTTTTGTCCACAACATTATTTTAGAACTGTTCTTATAAAGGCAATTTGGCTTCCGTATTTCATGGCATAAACTGCCATGTGAACCAACTGTTTGCTGCCATTGCCAAAGAGACTTGAGTCAGTGCTTTAATTTGGGAAATACTCCGGCTTTTTGCATGAGCACTGGATGCCAAAACCCTGAGGGCAAAGCATGGCCTGGAGAGCTGAGCAGAGCAAGGTAAGGGAAATGGTGCCTCTCGACTGGGCCCAAGTTTCTAGCGTAAAAACGGCACCGTTCCTGCTGCCTAGGTTTTTATTATCACATATGGACCACTTAGATCTCTCTGCTCCTCTTTGGGGGGCAAACCCTCTGCCATTCAGCTTATACTCCTATTTAGGCTTTTGTCTAAACTGGCTCTGAATTAGAGTGGCGCTACAGACCCTGTCAGAAGAAGACTTTTATAGCTAAGTAAAGAAACTTCCAAAAAAAAAAAAAAAAAAAAAAAGGACAAGAAAAATAAATAAATACAGCTCAGTCC